TGGGAAGATAAACTGGTTTGGTTTTAACTGGGAGGATAAACTGGTTCAGTGTTAAATGGGAAGATAAACTGGTTTGGTTTTAACTGGGAGGATAAACTGGTTCAGTGTTAAATGGGAAGATAAACTGGTTTGGTTTTAACTGGGAGGATAAACTGGTTCAATGTTAAATGGGAAGATAAACTGGTTTGGTTTTAACTGAGAGGATAAACTTTCATGTTAATTGGAAGGACAAACTGGGACAAGGATAATGACAGCGTGTAAGTTTAATGACTTACTACTTATAGGTCTCTGAGCGGACGTATTCGAAGACATGGGAGACTCCCAGTTGAAACTGGTCTGCGATGGGAGTGACCCACGGATTGTTCTCAGCTTTGAACACCTGCTTTGGACCAGTTAGATCCAGATTCCCTGCAAAGACAATTATTACAATCAGTTAGGCTTCTATTATTTAGTCATGATTTGCAAAGTGTCCAGTCTATAGCGTCCACTGTAAAGCGTCCAGTCTAAAATTTCCAGTTTATAGCATCCAGTCAATAGGGTCCAATCAATAGCGTCCAGTCTAGAGTTTCCAGTCTAAAGCGTCCAGTCTTAACAGTCCAGTCTATAGCATCCAGTCTAAAGCTTCCAGTCTAAAATGTCGAGTTTAAAGCATCCAGTCTATAGCGTCCATTGTAAAGCGTCCAGTTTATAGCATCCAGTCCAAAGCGTCAATTTAATAGCGTCCAGTCAATAGCGTAGAGTCTAGAGTGTCCAGTCTACTGCGTCCAGCCCAGAGCGTCCAGTCAATACCGTGCAGTCTAAAGCGTCCAGTCTAGAGTGTCTAGTCTAAAGCGTCCAGTCTATAGCGTACAGTCTAAATCATCCAGTCTAGAGTTTCCAGTCTAAAGCGTCTAGTCTTAAGCTTCCAGTCTATAGAATCCAGTCTAAAGCGTCCAGTCTAAAATGTCCAGTTTATAGCGTCCAGTCTAAAGCGTCCATTCAATAGCATCCAGTCAAGTGTCCAGTCAATATTGTACAGTCTACTGCATCCAGTCTAAAGTGTCTAGTCTAAAGTGCTCAGTCTAGAGCTTCCAGTCTAAAATGTCAAGTTTAAAGCATCCAGTCTATAGCGTCAATTGTAAAACGTCCAGTCTAAAATGTCCAGTTTATACTGTCCAGTCTAAATCATCCAGTCTATAGAGTCTAGTCAATAGCATCCAGTCAATAGCGTTCAGTCTAGAGTGTCCAGTCAAGGCGTCCTGTCTATAGCTTGCAGTCTATAGCGTCCAGTCTAAAGCATCCAGTCTAGAGTGTTCAGTCTGGAGTGTCCAGTCTGATGCATCCAGTCTAGAGCTTCCAGTCTAAAATGTCGAGTTTAAAGCATTCAGTCTAAATCATCCAGTCTATAGAGTCTAGTCAATAGCATCCAGTCAATAGCGTTCAGTCTAGAGTGTCCAGTCAAGGCATCCTGTCTATAGCATGCAGTCTATAGCACACAGTCTGAAGCATCCAGTCTAGAGCTTCCAGTCTAAAATGTCGAGTTTAAAGCATTCAGTCTAAATCATCCAGTCTCGAGTGTCCAGTCTAAAATGTCCAGTTTATAGCATCCAGTCTATAGCGTCCCATCTATAGCGTCCAGTCTAAATCATCCAGTCTCGAGTGTCCAGTCTAAACTGTCCAGTTTATAGCATCCAGTCTATAGCGTCCCATCTATAGCGTCCAGTCTAAATCCTCCAGTCTA